TCCCCCGCATCCCGCGGTGTTTTTAAAAAGTCCTGATTTTTTGGAAAGAATGCATGACAAGCTAGGGTATATGGTTTTCGGCTGCCATGTGGCTATTTCGCCAGGATACGAGTTTTATCAATGCTGTCCCGCTTTATCAATGTTAAAATCTGGTCACCTTGTATAGGACAGAGTAGCACTATTCCTTTGGGTTTCTGAGGCTGTACATAGTTTCCAACAGTTTTATTGACATATGATCAGCAGTGGGAACCCACCAGCAGTCCGGGGAGAAAGACGGCTTTCTACTCCAGTAAACTGTTATGCTCTAGGAACCCACAGTGAGGTCGCTAGGAGTCAGCTTTGACTGGAAAGCAGATTTGGTTTGGGGTTATTCTACCTGGACAGGAGCTCAGGTGGCGGAGTGGATTACACTCTGGGTTAACCCAAAGGTCAGTAAATTGCACACACCTCTTGACGAGGGTTTCTGATCTGGTAAGGACTTAGAGCCTCAGAGGCTTTCTATGCCGGTGAAGATGTACAGGCTCAGAGACTCACAGGGCCAGTTCTTCCCGGCCTAGTGTCTCTGTTAGCCAGTGTTGATGGCAGTGGAAGTGGTACCCTGGAGGGGCGTGGGGGGGAGGATTTATAATGTTGATTGATGTTAACATAAAATGACCATGATGTCTATATAGTGAACCTAGACGCTGTGTCCACAATCCAATTTCTTAAAGGGCTTCCTCTAAAAAAGTTTTTTTTATTTTGTTATTTAAATTTTTTTTTTCGCTGACCCTACACTTGACCAAGCCCATGAAACCCTGTGGGGCAATCACCTCTGTCATAGAGGTTGGCTATATCCTTTCTCTCTCTCTCTCCTGTGAAAACAGGGAAACCAGGAGCCTCCTTCTTATTCAATTCCACAGAGATGTATTCAGCACCAATTCTCAGTCTGATACCGTGCCACTTTTTAGGGGGAAAAATGAGGCCAAACGCGATAGTTGAATGAGATGCATCCTTAAGTGATTAGAAAGTGACCGGGGTCCTGGTGATACAGGCAGAACTAGGACAGGAGGGCTCAGCAGAAGGTCGGATTGAGGTAGTTTATTTCTGAGTTTGCACCCTTGAGTGCGGACCTCTCAATTTGAGGAAGGGGCGGCTGCCCTACATTGACTGTTAGGAATTCCATCCAGGACCACCCCGGGAGAGCAGGGACGCTCTGGGGGATCTGGCACAGGGCTCCAGGAGGATCCTGGGCCGCAGCCGCCTGGGCACCACACCCTCCCCCGCCGGCCGACCAGGTGTGCGCCCTGCTTGCGCGGGGAGGGGGAGGGAGCGCTCCTGCGCTGTGTGTGTGTGTGTGTGTGTGTGTGTGTGTGTGTGTGTGTGTCTGCCTCCTGAGGGCTGGGCCTCCTTATTCACAGGTGAGTCACGGCCTGAAACGCAGCCTCTCTTCCTGTCCAGACTGACTCAGGTAGCAGAGGGGATAAAACCACCTGGCCCAGGAAAAGGCAGGCACAGCAGGGCGTGGAGGGCACCCAGCTGGCCACGAGTGCCTTGGCCGTGACCCTGCAGCGACACACCGAGGGACGGCAGCCCGGCTATGGCTGCGCTCTGGCGGCGCTGCTGTCTTTACTTCCTGCTGCTCCTGCCCGCGGCCTCGGCCACCTCCACCTTCCGGAGGCCAGGTGAGTCGGCTTCCAGAAAGAGCTTGCCTTTCTCCGCGGACGGCGATGGCTGGCCGCTCCTCCGAGGCTCTCACGAACCTCTTTAGAGCTCCTTCCTCCGGCTGGTATCTTCCGGGGTTTCTCCTCCAATCCTATCAACGGAGACTAATCTCATCCCTCACACCCCTATGCACTAGGATAATCAATTTGTCTGATTCAAAGGACGTGCATTCAATAGGTTGCTCCAAACCAGGAATTTACTTACTTTAGAAATGGTGCTTCTTGGTTTCTTTTGGACCCAGGTGTCCCTGGTGGACCAGCAATGTGTGGATAATACAGAAATGTCCCCGGGTGTGCTTTTTTAATTTTAAACAGGTATTTTGATGGGAGTGTTTTGGCGAAGGGCACAAAGATTCTGAACACACCTCTTCAATCATCCTCCTGGCATCCGGCTCTCCGTATGGAAAGGAGCCCTCGGGTGTTGCTTTTCCATAATGCTCTCTCCCACAGTATTGTCATCTACCCGGCATTCACTGAGCACCTATGTCCTATCTCACTTGATCTTCCGACGAGGTGTCCTGTGACGAGGTGTCCTGTCCCGAGGTGTGGACAAAACTTTCCTAGAGCCTAGCAACTGCTGACTGTGTGCGTGTCACTGCTATGACAACTCGTTACGGCGTTTTCCTTATCACTACGTTTTATGCATTATCCTGGTCTGTGTCATTACTCTGGCCTTTTATGTTTATACGGCTTTCCGCCCCTGATGGCATTTCAGTAGGTCCAAGGCCAAGCGTCATGTTCACACACATGGATATGTAAACATGAGATGCTCCATGCTCCCGGCATCACATCAGATGTTTCATTTGCTAGCAACCAGTCTGGAGGCTGTTGGCCTGGGCTGTATGTGCTTTAAAAGGCTCTGGTACAGCACTCCTCACCTGGCCCCCCCATTTCCTCCAACATAATTTTTGGATTAACTTCCAACCCATTATCTCTGTTTGTTGTTACTGGGGGCCAGCAAGTTGATTTCCAAATGCATAGCAATCCTATAGGATTGATTTCCAAACGCATAGCAGGATGGAACTGCTCCTTGGGGTTTCCTATGGAGCGAAGCTTTACAGAAGCAATAGCCAAATCTCTTCTCTGGCCAAGTGGCTGGGTGGGTTCAAACTGCTGACCTCTCAGTAGCTGAGTACTTAACCATGGAGCCACTAGGGCTCCTCTTTCCTGATGATCAGTAAAAACTCATGTATGAAAATGGTCACTTTGAGAGGGTTCCATTAGAGTTAGGATAAGTAGCCTTAACCTGGGTGTGGAAATAGTCTAACCATAAGAATAGTTTCTGAATTTTAGAATTCAAAGGGACTGATTTGTGCATCTACCCCAAGAATCCATTCTTCTTCTTTTTAATGAGAAAATGGAAGTGAATTTGCCAAGGAGCACATAGGCAGTTATGGGCAGAGAGAGGCCCGCTCGGTATTAGGCCCCAAGCCTCTTAGACCAGAGTTAGTTGTTTTGACAGCATTATGAAAATGACAAGGAGGAAAGGAACTTATTTATTTTTTATATTTTTATATGATGGCTACATATGGAAGCACGTTTCTACTCAGCCATTTTGTGGATGAGTTAGCACTGGGTAGCTAAAAGAACTGTTGCGGAATTACACCAATTGTTTAATAAAATTAGAGTCAAGATGGATTAATTCAGATCATCCACCTGGACCGTGAAATCAGAGGCAGTGCTCCGCTCATTCTCACCCGGTCTTCTTCCTCGGAGAAAGGCAGTTCGCTATCAGACTCCCTGGTCAACGGCTGCACTGGCTGCCTGGGCTTCAGAGGTGCCAGCGTGGGGCATGCATGCTTTTCCTTTCATGGCTTGCTGGGATGCGCTGGAAGCTGGACGGAAAGTTTGGTGCTTGTCACATCTCAAAGTGATCTGCCTCTGAAGGTCCCCAGGCTGCATGTCTGGGCACCTGAAAAATGACAGTTTCGTGGTTGCTCCCTTATAGGTAAAAGTATGGTCTCAGAGGTAGCTAAGACTTTGTGGGCTTTGTAAAAGTAACACATGCTTTACAGCAGCTTCACCAGCATTCAGATATTGGCGCATTCATTGGCTTGCTCCTTACAGGTGTCCTTTCAAGACCCTCAGCTGCTCTTAGCTATTGTCCATACCTTCTAGAGGAAGGAAGCTTGTGCAGCCTTTCAGGGTGGCTGAAAAGGATTAATTATTATTGCTGAATGCATTAAAAGGCCTGAAACCACATTTCTTAAAACAAAACAAAAAACAAGTTAATAGTACAAGTGTCCACCAATCTGACCAATCACTGCCATGGAGA